GGGGGGGGGGAGAAGCCAACTACCCACAAAATATTATTATTATGACGTCAGCTCTGGATTTTAAATATGGTTTATTTAATAATCTAAGTTGCCTAGCTATTCTGCTGCAAAGTAAAGAAAGCATTGAGTTACAGTCACCCTCACTCCCCATGGGTTCTGCAATCCACGGATTTAAACAACTACAGCTAAACAACATTCTGGGGAAGAAATCCAAGAAGCAAACTTTAATTTAGCTGTGCACTAAGCACTATACTGATGTGTAGGAATGGTGTGCTGTGGTCTCTTACCATTTCAGATTCTTGGACATCATTTTTCTATTCTGCTCTATATAATGGAATTTTAGCATTCATGGATTTTGGCATGTGTATGTGTCCTGGAACCATATCCCAGTGGATACAGAGGACCTACTATACCTGCAAATTTGGGTTTCCCCTCATGGTCAGCTGTGATTTGCACATATAGTATATTCCTGCACTCGCGCAGGCAGCAACAGAAATTCTCGAGACTAATTTGACGGTTAGAGTAGCCCCGCCTACCTTCCCTGTCCATATAAATAGGTTTGAAAGCAGTGAAAAATAGCAACAATAATAGCATCTAACTTAACTAAGTAACAATCAGGGTGATGTCAAGAAAAATAATACAGGAATATGCAAGTGCTTGAGAGGCTATTTCCCTCTCTCAGCTTTATAAAACTACAAAGCATCAAATGAATTATGTTTTTGCAATGCATTTCTCTGGACCCACAAAATTGAAGTTTCAGCTTTGAAGGAGGCATACCTTAGATTAATAATAATGTTGCTAATATTCCAGTTATTCTTTCCTTTTCTATTCACCTTCCCTTATCATCCCAATGCTGTGACCTAGGAAATGCCAAAGCTGAAACTTCCTTGGAATCTATAACCTCTAATTTGAGAGCCTTTCCCCACTAAATACTTCCCAAAAATGGCTTATAACTGAGCAGTCAAGAGGTGGTGGCAGCAATTGTTTGGACACCTACAGCATCCCAGATAAGTTAGAAAGTAGAGTCCAATTTTTTAAATTCTTTAGCCCAGCAGAGGCTGGGTATCCAGATTTTTGTATTTCAGTTTATTATGTTTGCTTCTGTTCTACAAGTTCAAACATTAACTCTACACTGTAATTTATAGACTTCACTGCAACTCTGGTTCTGCAAGACTAGCCAGCATATGCCGTTTATACTTTCTTATTTCAAGGTTCATGGAAGCATGGACATTAGGACAGAAACTGTAATTTATACTGACCTGGATTTTCATTGCAAGAACTAGAACTGCCAACATGCAACTAAGATGCCATTTTAAAACAGACATTGCATATTCCATTTGTGAAATACAGTCATAACTCAGTTAACACAGCCCCCGACAAATAAGCTTTTTGAAAAAACCAAGTCTTTTTTTGCCCTCCCCAGTTCCTTGTCCTCTTGCCTAACTGGAAGGGGCTTTTTTGTTTTTTTGTTTTTTAGCAGCATCAACATTCAGTGATGGCGAAGGAGAATTGGGGAAATACAACTTTTGACATCAGGTTGCAGCATAGCATCTATAATAAACAGTGCCACAAAAGTTTGATCTTGAAAACTGCAGGACTGTCCCATTGCATCTGCTGTCCCATTGCATCTGTGTGTGCCTAGCTAAAACAGGGAAGATAAACAGCAGCTGCCTTCAGGATCCCTGAGCATGTGTAAACAACACCACACAGAAGGGTTCTGTAGATAAGCCTGCTTCACCAGCTATTCCAAAAAATATTGAAGAAGTATAGGTATATACAGTCAGTCAGACATAAATTATAATAAAAGACTGAAGGAGGATAGAAACATAATTTCTAAATGCATTTTGGAAGAAGCTTTTAAGCAATCGCTAGAAATTAATTTTTTTTTTTACATATGGAAGACTTTCAACCTGGATATTTCTTTTTATGTGTACATATTAGATTTGTATGAAATGTTTTTCTGAAACATGTTGAATCACATTTTTGTGCTGCAGGAACCTATCTTTATTGTTTCTGTGTTATTTCTGCCTCTAGCAATACAATTCCTGTTTAAAAAGTGATTGCAGAAACACATCTACTTTGCTAAATGAAGTATATCTGTATTAGCAAGTTCACTATCTACACTGACACTATCTTCATGCAGTTGTCAATGAGACATCACTTCTAATGCAGCATTTCCTCCAGCCCACACACAGTTTAGGACGTCCCCTTGACTTTTTGGATAGGACTTTGTAGGAGAAGGATAGAACAGACTGACTATAGGATGGAGAGAGAGAGTTACTTTCCACTGCCACAACGACTGGATGCAATTCAGTGGACTAAACAAGGCATACATTCTTTGGCATAGCCCACAGACACAGTTTTTTTTAAAAAAAATAGATGTCAAAGATCCTGTACTTCTGGCCAGCATATACTAGGTGATGAAAGAGGAAGAAAGAGGAAAGAAAACGGTGGCAGTAATGGTGGCATATTGAAACTGACTACTGCCCAAGTGTACATACTCATAGCATTCTGGCTCTGTAGACCTATCTGGAAGCGACATTCAAGAAATACAGCTCAGGGTTGGCAGCCTTCTCTTTTGATTGTAGTGACTTTCTTGTGCAAGCACAGTCAGTAACATCACAGAATGATCTTTGAATGAGTCATTTTAGCAAGAGTGGGTGCAGTGCAGCTCTAGGGCTGATTGTGCCCTTAGAAAGCAGTTTTTGTAGTCTTTGTCCCCTCCAGCATCCGTTTTTTCCCCTGGCCAAAATATTGTAAAGATAAATATAAAAGGTGAATTGCCTCCCTGGAAGTTTTCAGGGGGGGAAAGAAATGTGTAGCAGTAAAAAACATAGATGCAATCTGTTTTTCAAAACTGAAAGTGTACTTCCAGACATCACCATTTATTTTTCTTTTTTGGCTGTCTATGTGATCTATAAAGGTTCCCTAAAGCAGAAAGTCCCACCCTGGCCCTCACAGTTATCCATGCCTATTCTACAGCATCCCAAACCTGAGCTCACAGGTTAATGGATTTTACATCTGTGTAGGACTAATTGGTAAATTCAGCTCCTTATATGCAATACAATTCATCTCCTTGGGAGTGAAAGCCATTTTAGACGTTATGGGGGCCACCAGGGTCCACCACAGCTGAAAGCAGAAGTCTACTCCAAATTTTATTCCCCTTTTCTACTACAAAATGCCCATGGGATAACATATTTTGAAGATAAATCATGATACTGGAGGCGTCTGGGAACTCAATTCTTTAATGAATAGGAGGTCTCTGGGGACTCGAAATATACATAGTAGCTGCAAGGATTAATGGAACATGTTGCCCACACCTGCTCTACTATGTAAAAACTCTCTCATTAGGAATTAATTTTCTAAAAAATCATAGTGTATTATAAAGTATCTGGTTTGATTCACCCTAAAATTATTTGTAGTATGTATACAGTAATACCTGCATGGTAAGATGGAGAATGGGATATTGTTGATCTACACTTGGATTTGGGCTGTCGTAAATTTGACAGTCTCCAGGATATAGTATTTTTAGTATAATAAGACCACTAAAGATAATACCCAATATTTGAACAATGTTTTTGAAATATATTTTTCTTCAGAAGTTCCTTAAAAGTCAATAGTTCTAAACAGGCATCATTGCAGTGGGGGAGAGAAATGTGAGCTCAGATGGACAATTGCTAGCTTTAACTGCTTTGACATGTAAACATCAGCTTCTCCAGAAGCTTGACTTCAGGTAGCAAAATTAGGGAAGATTTTTGCACAGAAGTCTTGAGTTACAACTGGTAACAAAGAGCATGTTTCAAAGGTTAGTCTGTTGCACCTTTCTCAGGAAATTGTTACTGAAAGCACCAACTCAATTCCTGCTAGCCTACCTACTTTTCCTCTTGAAAAACACACCTCTAACGTAAGCTAAGTAGACAGCAAAGGGAATTTAACTTTTGTTCAAAGTTCTGCATGCTACAACTACTAAGAAAGAGGAAGCTAATTTGTGGTATTTCACTCAAAGCCGCAATACTACAGATATTTCCGGTTTTCACAATTTTAACCACAGAAATCAGACGCTGTAGATCAGTAGTCCCCAACCTTTTTTTGACCAGGGAACACTCTCCAACATTAGTACTAAAAGGGTTTCAAATCTGTTTTTGGTCAACTTTAGATTTGGTTTGGTTATTTGGGGTGCTGATTCAGAAAATTGCATTGGCTAGACCGTATCAGCTCTAGTTTCTGATACAGAACATCTGCCATCCAGTAGTCGCCATCTACTTGACCACAGAAAACCATATTTAATAATCTAGACCTGGTGTCATCTATCCAAGGGGTCGGGGCTGGTCAGCGACGGGGAAGGAGTAGCAGGTGACGCAAAGGGAGGGAATATAAAATAAATGCAATAAAATAAATAAAGAGGAAGGAGGCTCACTGACCCAATTTTCATCCTTGCAGCCTACTGGTGGTCCGTGGCCCACAGGTTAAGAACCACTGTTCTAAACAAAGAGATAATTTTGCTGGGTGTCGTTGATTAGCTTTAGACTATTGGCTGTATTAAGTTTTCGTTATTCTAAAGTTCAGTAAATTTCTGCTCCATTTTAATAGCAAGCCTAGTGGGATACCAGAACAGCTTTTAACAAATGCCACTATTTTATATTGACAGTGCTACATTTCTCTAAAATAATCTTAATTCTCTGTATTTGTTGTAGATCATATTTGATTACAATTCTTTTGTTTTTAACGAACAGACAAAATGAACCCTTTTTTAAAAAAACTGACAAAGGAAACTAGTTATCCTTGACTTTGTGAATTAAATTACATGCAGATACAGAAGGATACAGCTTTATAAATAATAATTATAAAAATAAAACCTAGAGCTCATTACTTTGCTGTCTTCTATCTACTAAAGTGATTGAAACAGTGTTTAATAACTTCATAACATTAAACACAATTTTAATAAATATTTTCAGAGTAAGTGAAATGCTAATAAACTATGATTTCCCCCTCTTTTTTAGACAATGTGTTCTGCGGTTATTCAAATTTATGCAGCGGATCGCAATGCTATGTGGTCAAAGAAGTGCTGTGGCGTAGCTTGCCTTGTGAAAGACAATCCACAGAGGTCTTATTTTATCAGAATATATGATATCAAGGTGAGTATCCTTTTTTCATTTCTAATATACATTTCTGTTGTCTCACAGTTTGTTGAAAGTAAAATACATGCATATATTTATAATCAGCTTCAAATGAATCAAAGTTTAACTCTGTTAAAAACAGAAATCAGCATATAATACATTTTTTATTTCTGATGCATGAATCCAATGATAGACATGGACATGAAAAGATATATATATGGAAAATAGCTGCTCCATATCTAATCTTGCTGCAGAAGTTCTTCTTGCTGAATGGAGAAGTCTGTATGTTGCTCCTTACTTAGACAAAAGAATTAGTGATGGAAAGTTTCAGTTATGTGACTAGATATATTTTTCCATGTTCCTTCTAATCTTTTAGTTTTAAGTCACTTCCTGTCATCTTATAATACTTTCTCGGGTCTTAATGTTCAGTTGGACTAAACAAGTGCAGTTGTCCACATTGTCATAAGGTGCAGAGTAACAAGAAGGAAAAGAATTTTGGATTTTGCCTTCAGAATAGTTTTAGTCACTTTGCTTTCAAATAATATAGCATTATTTTTTCTTTAGAAGTTTTCCGACGTTATCTGATAGGATGTAAACAATCAGTTTTTGCAAACTTGCAGAAATCATATTAGAACATGGTTATACAGTAGAGTCTAACTTATCCAATCTTTGCTCATCCAACATTCTATATTATCCAACACAGTCTGCTTCCCATCCGGATCTACAGCTGTTTCAACACCTTGCAATGTTTTGGTGCTAAATTAGTAAATACAGTAATTACTACATAACGTTACCGTATTGAACTGCTTTTTCTGTCGATTTGTTGTAAAACATGATTTTTGGTGCTTAATTTGTAAAATCATAATGTAATTTGACATTTAATAGGGTTTTCCTTAATCCCTCCATATTATCCAACATTTTTGCTATCCAACGTTCTGCCGGCCCGTTTATGTTAGATAAGCAAGACTCTACTGTACTTTATATGTGCTTTCCTACCTTCCTTCTTTCCTTCCTTCATGCTGGAGGTCCTAGAAATTCTTAGACTACCTCTCTAGGAATATTTAAGTTTCCAGCAGAAGTTGACCATAGAGTTGTGCTGGAGAACCTGGACATTCATAGAGAGGTGTTTTCTCAGGTTAAGAAACATGCTTTTTATTTTTCCCCACTTTTGCAGGGGCCCTGTTCTCTTAACCCCAGAGAATATGGAGGGCTGACTGTAGTTCTGAAAACCAATAACTAAAATAGCCAGAGCAGTTACTTCTCATTATAAAGATATCCTGGCCCTAAGCCATGTGGGGCTTTATAAAGCAAAGCACCATAAATTGAGCTGGAAGCAAATTGAAAGTCAGTACAGTTCTTGCAAGACTGATGGTATATGGTATCTAAAGTACTCACTGAAAACCCATCTAGCCATTACATTTCACACTAGCTATAGCTTTCAAATATCTTTCAAAGACAGTTCCACATAGAGTATATAACAGTAATCCAATCAGGATATAAATAAGTCATAAAATATGGTAACCATATTGATACTTCTTAAGAAAAATATCTGGCTCCTAACCAAACTAGGGCAATGTCAACCTTAGCCATGGCAGGTATCTCACCATGCAAGAATAGTGCTAGGTCCAATAAAACTGCCAAGGGATATAATAACCTCTAGAATGAAGAAATCGCCTGAGTGGTTGATACAGTTGTTTTAGGGTGTGGTGCCATCTATATGCAGATGACACTCAACTCTGGTACTTCTTTTCACCTCAAGCCAAGCAAGCTAGCCTGATCCTAAACCAGTGTCTGTTGTCAGCAATGGATTAGATGGTGGCAAACAAATGAAGCTTTAATCCAGATATGACAGCGGTGATCCTGGTCAGTTGGTATGTAGATCAGTGAATAGAGATTCAGCAGCTTGTGTTACATGGGGTTTTACTCCCCCTGAAAACACAAGTTTACAATTTGGGTGTACTCTTGAATGTAGAGTTGCACCTGGAGGCCCAGATTTCTGCCAGCAGGCTTTGCACTTTTAATACTTGTACGATGCCAACTGCACCCATTCATTGAGACGTCAAATCTGGCCATAGTAGTACATGCCTCAGCTCATCTTAGAGATTTCCCACACGACATCGCTCTGACTCAGAATACTCATTGAAAAGGTCACTTTAGCGTTAACATAAGTTGGAAACTACTTGCAGTTACCCAACAACAACAGAATTGACCATAACAGGTATCTGACCTTGCAAGAACAGTGAGGGGTCCAAAAACACTCCCAATATATGAACCTAATTTTTCAGAGGAAATGAAACCCTTTCCAGAACAGCAGAACTTGCATCTTGTTTGGATTGAGCCTCAATTTCCAGTTCTGCATTGGATTTCCACAGCCTTCTTGATGGCATTTGTAAAAGAGAGAGAGAAAGCTAGACATCATTAGCATACTGATGACACCCAGACCTAAATGCCAGGTTACCTCTTCCTGCAACTTCCTGTAAATGTTAACAATTTTAGGGAGAAGTATGTTTATTGTTTGTACATTTTGTTTTTATTTCAGGATGGAAAGCAATTGTGGGAACAAGAATTGTATAATAACTTTGTATATAATATTCCTAGAGCATATTTTCACACCTTCGCTGGAGACGTAAGTATTTCAGTGTGTGCTTTTTGAAAAATTGTTATCTTACCTTTAAATTGTGTGTTTTTTTCTTAAAACTGGTCCATAAAATACCAAGTGACACTTTTCATTTGAGTTCTTCACTTTTGGACAGTTTATTATCCAACCCAATCCAACAAAGTTCATAGTTTTAAATCACGTTCTGATAATTTGAATTTGAATATGAAAACCTATCCCATTATTTAATAGATCTATCTTTAGACCCTGTAATTTGATAAATATTGTTGAGGAAAAGACAATTCATATTTAATATGCAGGAAATTTGCACCCTGTTATTTGGTTTCTTGCGAGAGTTATGTTCATGGGAAAATGATTGCTTTTCAGACATGCCAAGTGGGTCTTAATTTTGCTAATGAAGAAGAAGCTAAAAAATTCCAAAAGACCATAACAGACTTACTTGGACGACGCCAACGAAAATCAGGTAGATAGATATACATCTTCTCACTCCCCTCCTATGTATAATTTATAACAGAAGTTGGGAACCTATGATCTGTATGACCTCTCAGAGTGATTGGGGCTTTCCTTACAGTGCAGCAGTTAAGCTTGGGGAAATTCTTTCATTGGAACCTTAGAATGCAAGTGTAGTTGTAGATAAAGATAAGCAGTTTGGATTGGTGGTGAAATTGCTGTTGGATAATTGAAGGTCTGAATCCGTAAGCACTCCAGCCTGTCCTTCAGTGTTTCTTCCTTTGCATCAATAAATCTGCCACTGCCACAGGAGTGAGCATTTTCCAAGTCTACTGGCATGTTGGACTGTTGATTTTGAAGGTGAGATAGAACTTGGAAGCTCCCTGACTGTCAAATCCATCCCCCATCATCTTTTTGTTGTTGTTACTAAAAGTAGGTCAGATATTTCAAGTGTGCTATTATGAAGATTTTATAAGCATAATTGCAGTAGAAAATCAGGGAGCAGGGGATTTCTGTATATGAGGATAACAGGTGGGTGTACCTGAAAGAGTAGATTTTCCCACTTTTTGCTTGTTTCTGCCCATGAATGGTATATACTTATGCCCTTTGACATAAAAGGTAACCAACAGGAAATACATCTTCAGGCAAAAGGGGTTCTTCATCTTATTTTTTAAAAAAACATTTTTTTATTTTGTAGTATTGAAATTAAACATGTAAAGGGTTTATTTTAGAATATTAAGAAAATGTTCGTAGTAGATAAATGCCTCTTCACATTCTTATCCCCTTTGAAATAACAGAGATGTTATTATGAAATACCGGCCCACAGAATTTTTTACTTGTCACTTTTTTTTTTTACAAAATTTGGTGCTTTTTTTGGTCCCAAATACCCCCAAATGCCCTGTTAGAAGATATGAGGGTAGGTCTTTACCTTTGTCTGTGTTGTATGTCATTGTTCACTGTGTGTAAAAGGCACTGAAAACTATTGAAACTATAAAAAGAAAACAGCAAATAGAAAATCCAGCACATTACACAAGGGCCTTCCTTTCCCTTTGAGCAATCACTTCCATGGTCTGCTAAAATGAAAAGCGGTTTTCTGATCAAAAAGGGCACTACTACTCTAAACATTCTGAGAAGGAATTACACCAGATGTATCTGTGAGATTGAAGGGACATATCTCCTTAGAAGATTTCAAAGCAATGTGAAGTTTGTAGAAGTTCTGCATCTTCAAATAACCTCAACCACAGTGTGATATGGTATCCAGGGTTCTCCAAAACTATGGACAGTTTTCAGTAGGCTAGGACTTTGATATAGTTGCAGAAGTCTTTTAGTTTTAACCCTTTGTCCTCAGTACTTTGGTTCACTTGTGGGTTTTTTTGTTGTTGTTTTACTGTAAATTATTTATCCAAATCAAATGACCTAGCAAATATTTATACAAAGATACATCTTTTCCTTTAATCCTCTTTGACTTACATGTGACATACAGAATATTAGGGTATCTATTTTGCATGATATATGTCATATTGATTTTATTCTAATCAGCAGAGCTGGAGTTTCCTCTGAATTTGTTTTTTTCCACTTGAGAAAAATATTTTTTCTGTTATGCCACTAGGTGGAGTTCCAAATCTGTTAATGCAGCTCTGAAAATCATTTCTTTTTACAGAAAGAGAGAGTTCGAGGGCCTTCAACTGGATCATCTAGCCTCTTGTTTCCTGAGATAAATCTAGAGGAAATAAGAGAGAAACTTTTGCCCTGATCTGCAATTGCAACAAACTGCAGATGGGGAGACTTAACGATGCGATTTTCTTCCATATAGCATGTACCTGAAACTCCCAAGATTATTTTAATTTTTAATATTATAGATTTTTAAAAATATAATTACTACATTTGCTCTATGACAAAAAAATCAGTGTAGAAATTTGTATGTGTGCCCCCACACACTCTATGATCCATAGTTGTTTATTTAGATTCTAGTTTGTTGTTGTTGTTTTACTTTATTTTTATCCCATCCTTCTCCCAATATAGGGACTCAAGGTGGCTAACACCAAACAGTTACGCTTCCCTGGAAATTTTTAGACACTGTGTAATATGTAAAAATAATGGCTGACCTCTGTTAATCAGTTACAGTGTCTTGAGTTAGATTTATGATTGTGTGATTGTTTTCCTGTTCACCTTCTTACAATTCTGGTACCATAGCCACAACCATAGCCGCAAGCATAATTATCCATTTCAAAAGTCAATCAGCCATGCTGAGTTTTGAAGTGCTGGCAAACAAAGTGCCACAGAATGATGTGACTCCTATCAGCAGTGAAGATACAAAAAGCAAAAGAAGGAACCCCTGTCACAACTCTTTTTGGCATATTGCTTGTAGGCAGGAAGGGAATGGTTATGTCATTCTGCAGTTCCCTTCTCACCAGTATCTAAGAACCCCATCACTCAGAACATTGGACTTAAGATGTGCTTCAGTGTCAGGAGATGGAGCTTAGCTGCAACACTAAAGGCATGGCTCTGATGAAGGTCATGACGCATTTTGTTATTGTTGTTGGTTTGTTTGTTTTACACTTACCCTCCGCATTTGCAGGCTAGACTTTTGACGATGTGATTATTGATGGATTTGATTAATATGTTTTCTCTTGTGTCTGGGTCCTTCAACTTAACTTTGTGGCCGACTTCCACCTGATGCTGACCAAGATTCATGGCAAAGTGACCTTTTTATTCATGGTTTGTCCACTTTGTCAGGGATCTTGCACTCCTATGCTCAACCAATGTGGAGGATACATTGAAAACTATTTTTGGGCTTAAGTGTAACAGCCCAGGATAACCAAAATAGCCTGCAATTACTAGGACATAACATAATCATTCATTTTCATTAAATCTTTTGAGAGTGAATGTCTGTTTCCCATTCGTATCTAAGGGGGAAGGCATGATAATAGCCATTGGAATTCATACATAAAATTAATTAAATTAATTTAAGGGTGAATTCAGCAAGAATGCATGTGTCTTGTTGCACTTTAATGGGGTTCAGATTATTTCAAGGGTAAATAAAACTTTAAACTGAGAGTAAAGATGCACCTTAATTTTGTTCAAATTAGATTTTAAGGCTTGTGTCTTTTTTGAAGTAAACAAAGGAGGATGCAACCCTTGAGTGCTCCCTGCATGTGTCATTTGGATTTTGGAAAAGCAAAGAGTAAAATGTAATTATGCGCTGATTAAGCATGCAGCACGCATACATGCATGATTTTACTACCCTGTACTGTACAATGCAATCTTACTTTCGGAAATAACACCTACTGACTATGAATGTTAATATACTGTATGGTACTTCTTATGTCTAAACTATTCCAGTTTGGGCAAAACATGTATAGTTGTTGCAAAACAGAATACAAACAGTTCTGTTAATCCAAGACAACACACTTTCCTATGTTTTGCACATGGAGACAATTTCTAAGTTTTTATAATTCTTAGAAGTACTAATGTAATTTTTGTACTGCATCATTGATGTCTTTTATTTTTCACCTTCTTGAAATACTCAAATTATGTTGAAAGCCGAAAAGTGGGCAAGGTTTTGAGAGAAGCTTGAAGTAATCACACTTCCAATAGCAAGTTCTCTTCTACTCATTGAATTACAATTTATGCTAAAAGCCTGACTTTCTAGCCCTGACCAAATGGGGGAAAGCAGACTATTAGAGAAGTTTCAAACCAGTTCCTAAAATGAATGGAAGTTTGCTTAGTTTTTTTCTTTAACAGTACAACTTTTAAATCAGGATTTGAAATTATAACTTAGGCAGACATAATTACTGTATAACAAGTGTGTGAAGACAAAAATATTCTAAATGCATGCATGAATGGAATGATAGTGTTTTGTGTGTTTTTCCTTAACAGAGAAAAGGAGAGACCTACCAAATGGTAAGATTTTGCTTGCTGTAACTATAAACTATCCACCTCTTCCTCTAGTCATCTTTCACTCTCTTCCAGCTCATCACTTGTTAAATCATTGCTTATGGACATGATATGCATATGTATTTAAATATATTCAGCTGGAGGTTTCCTCAGCATTTCTGTAGTACTACAATACAAATTGAACAAAGGCAGTAGTATGAAGGAATGTGAATAAAATATCAGTGAGCAAACATTACTGCTATGGTACTAACAAACTGTTCTTCCTATCTTATATTACTTATGTAAAAATAGCTTAGGAAGTCAGCTTTAAACAATTTGACATACTGGTACTCAAGTATTAGCTGTAGAATTTCCTCAGATATTTCAGATTCAAACATTCATCCTGGGGGAGGGGTAGAAATACTGTCTACTGTTATATCTGTACACATTTCAACAGTTGTATATTTGCCATAAGGGTGTAGTCATTCTCTCTATATTCTTTCAATGAAAACCATCCTGTTTGCTGAAAAGCTTGGTTAACTTCACATAGTAAAAATTCTAGGATTAAACAGATTGGCATTAATGGTTATGTAAATGCATTAGCCTGTGATTTCCTGGGATTTGTGTTTTTATTCTTGTCAGTAATGGAAAAGTCTTTTCAATGAAAATCAGTTAGCTGTGGTTTTACTGACCTTCTATCATAATGTTTGGGATGAAAATGGGGATTTATCAGAATTAGTTTTTAAAAGGCTTGCCAGGGAGCATGTGACCCACTTTCATTTTAACACATAAGCTAGAATCTGATTTAGTCTTTCGCAAACTGCCCTCCTTACAGGCAGCCGATCAGAAACATACTGGTTTCCCCCAAAAGATAGCAATGTTTTGTACCACATTTTCACGAAACCCTTCTGAAGAAGTGACAGATCTTAACATTAGTGGTTGCTTACGACCACTATATTGTCAAGTTCTTCCCAATGATGAATTTCATAGACCACTTTCATCTTCATTAATTGAGTTATCTACAGCTAATGGGGAAGGTGCTTGTGTTATGATGGGGAAAATTTTGTTGGATATTAATATGGCTGTATTAGAAGAAAATGGAGATTCTTTAGATGTATGCATTCCTCGTGGGCAGCCAAAGTCTACTGAAAGTGGTAAGCATGGATATTTCCGAACTAAATGCTGCTTTTGTGTATTGGCTACTGATAGGTGTCATTTTTAAAAATTATTTCATGTGGCAAAGCTGCTTGCCTGCAAATAAGTACATTAAATCGGTCTTACTCAGAGCAAACATATTTAAGATTGCACTGTAAACTATCTAGTAAAATTCCATATTGTTTATACAGTAGTTTCAATATTATCTTGAGGAAGCAAAGTCTGAACCAAGACATTAATTCAATATAGAAATGTTCTAGCAGGTACATTTACATATGTTAAGATTAACCATCATATACTATAGTGGCACAGGGTGGATTGTGTATATTTACCTAGGTATATAGTTCTTTATTTGGTACACTATAGATACTAAACAAAGTTTATATTTGATGAGCTTATCATGTGGTAGTTTTCAAAATCTTTCATCTCTTTAGACAGACAGCCTTTGAGTTTATTTTTTTGTAGAACCCAGATGTGTTTGATTTCACTGAAATACTTGTTTAGTTAGGTAATACATAAAATTATTTGAAAATAATACCCATCACTGTATTATTTTACAAGAAATTAATGAGTAGTGTTACTGCGTTTCTTTCATTTTTTACAAAAATTCTAACTCTACAAGTTGTCTTAAATAATATGTAGTAGACTCAGAATCCTAAAATGTAGTTCACCACTGTAGTGTATCATTTCGGTTTCTGCCACATCATTCCTACATTATAGGCCTTGAAATAACAGTTTCTGAAATGAAATGGGTGATGATTTAAAATATAAAATACCCTTACAATTCATGATCATGAAGTACAATTAATTCATAATGCTAGTATAGAAAAGAAAATGTGTGGTTTGTCTGTTTTCACCTCTATGTGTATACAGAGAGACAGTGAATAGCCAAGTGTTCATTGAGTATTATTTTGCTTCTGGACCTGTTTCTTTCATTTCATAATACTTGGACTCAATACAAAAGATGTAAGAAAGGAGGTCAAATGAATGTTTCTGTTTGAATTCCTGTAGGTCCAAGTCTACCAATGGCAACGGTTGACATTAAAAATCCAGAAATCACCACTAATAGATTTTATAGTTCACAAGTCAACAATATCTCCTATACCAAAGAGAAGAAAAAAGGCAAAGCAAAAAAGAAAAGACTGACAAAAGCAGATATTGGAACTCCAAGCAATTTCCAGTAAGATTGCCTGTTTTTCTTTTTTTATTATTTAAATGTTAGCACATATTTGCTGAAATACCGTTAATATACATTACAGTAGACAATCAGTGTAATTTTCCTTTTGTATTGCAAGAATTTCTTGCATCATAAATGTAACAGAAAAATGAGATCCACATTTTTCCAGATGTTTTTGCAATATAACTTATCATTTTGTTGTATTTGTTCAGTGTCTTTGAAGATATATGACCACTAAATGTTGTGTCTTACACAATTTAAACAGCGAAAGGCTCAGTACAAGTGACTTTAAACATCATAGGAAGCTACAGAAGCACAATGATAAAAACTCAAAGAAACAATTAAAATTCAATTAAAACATCTGTTAGCAATAAATTGTTCCTGAATGAGTTGCTTACAATATATTATATGATATTTTTGTGGCAGGCAGGCCACTCCTGCTAGCGGGGATTACAAAACTTAAGCAACAATTAAACATTTGTTCTGTTAAAAGCAAATAGTTTAAAAACAATTAGCATGCATTTAAAATACTTATAAAATGTAATTAAGACATACAAATTGAAAATCGAGCATAGCACTGTGAATCAATTCAAATAATTAAAATCAGGCAGAGTCCTTCTAATAATAATAATAAAAACACCTGCTGGTGGAGAAAAAACATGGAAAGGGCTAACTGGCTTTTCAATGGAAGAGAATTCCAGAATCTTGAGCGGCCATTGAGAGGACTTTCTCCTGTGCCCTCGGCAACCATGCCTGTAAAGGAAGTGGGACTGAAAGAAAGCTCTCTTCTAAAGATTGTGGACCAGTTTATATGGAGAGGTGCAGTATTTTAGATACTCTGAACCCAAGCCATGTACAGTTTTTAAAGTCATAACTAGCACTTAGTATTCTGCCTGAAAACTGATATATAGCCAGGGAAGCTGTTTCAAGAAGAGAATTACATGAGCCTAGCAACATGTCCCAATCAGCAACCTGACCACAGCATTTTGATCTGCTGAATAGGATATCAGACAGGCATCCCAAGTATTAACTTCTGGGATCACCGTTCCAAAAAAGACATGAACCATAACAGTGCCCTCTCGTCCTACGCCAGAGATGCAACATGGAAAGATAGCATGGTTGATAGTATCTGAAGCCACTGAGAGGTCCAGCAGAACAAACAGCGGACACGCTTCCCTGTCTAAATCATCCACTAAATGATGAAAGCTATTTCTGTCTCATAGCAGGGAGACACTCTAAAGCCATGGTCAAGAAAGGGATATTGTAGAAGGGATGAGAAATAGGTGTGTGTCCAATAATGGCATCAATATAGTCTCTTCTAGGAAAGATGAAAAATTTTCTTGTTGCATTGAGGCATTCATTATTCCAGATTCCCACTTGGCCAGTCCTCCCAAGCTGCTTCTGAGGGTTCTTCCCCACAGCCATATAACCCAGAATATCAAGGCAAAAAATCCCACAATATCTGCTATGAACTGGGTTATCTGAGTCCACACTGCCATATATTCCAATTCAAAGCAGATAATGTGGAATATTTTTCAGCTGTGTAGAAGGGGCCTAAAAGAATTAGGATAGATACAGACCCAGTACACACATGAAGACTCGCCTCTCCAAAGAACCTGTCCACATGCTCAGATTGCATACATTGTAACATATCCAGTAGCATAGGACAAAAAGGAGTTTACGTTTACACCCCATGGACTTTTGTCAACTAAAGAATGAAGTCAGAGCATATACATATGATTTTATCTGCAAAGTGTTGGGACAAGTTCTCCATAGTGGTTTGCTGAGTGATCCCCATGGTGCTCTTGTGAGACAGAGAGTAAAAGGCCCTGGCCACTTGAGATAAACTGAGTAAAAAGTGCAGATGTAATTGCAAACAATAAAGATTTCTTCACTAGCACTGTTACCACAAGATAAGCTTTACAATCTGTGTTCAGTTGGAATCACTCTTGAGTTTTCCACCATCATTGCTATAGTCTTCATGCAGTTCGAATCACAAATGGTCAAAGTTTTTCTGGCACACAGCTAAAGTGTGGTTAGGTCAAAATACTAGTTCCTCATTTCACAAAGTGTTTATATCTCTCAGTCCATTAAAACAACAAATGAATTTAAGCTTGGATTTTGTAATTTTTAAAAAAAATTTCCTTTAAAGGTTGCTAAAAAGTATTGGTCGCAACTATAGAAATGTAAAGATACAATGTTATTGTCAGATTTCTTGATGACTGGTTCAAATGGTATGTGCAAGATCTGTGGAATCAAGTTAACATAGAATCCCTTTCTGCCTTTTCCTATCTTTTTCCATACATTCTCTTTATTTTCAATTGAGTCATTTTAACTCAATTATCCTCCTAATACCTGCTTTAACCCCGTTTTGTTTGTTTTTCCTCCAGACACATTGGACATGTTGGCTGGGACCCCAATACAGGTTTTGATGTAAGTGATCATGATTGTTGCTAATTGTTCAAGAGATTCGAGCATTTTACATAGGGTTTCATTCTGGCCTTTTAACAATGTATGTCCATATTTATATGAAACAGAAAGATAGACAGGTGTAATTCCAGCTGTAGGTTGGCCATGAAAACTTTACATTGGTATTCTGAATAAAAAATATTATTTAAATTAGAACCATCTCCAAAAACTCACTGCTTTGGAGTGTAGTGGAAACTCATTCTTTGGAGCCTTTTAAACAGAGGCTAGATAGCAATCTATCAAGTGTACTTGATTGTGTTTGTCCTGCATGAGAGAAAGAGGGTTGGACTAGATGGCCCATGTGGTCTCTTCCAACTCTATGATTCTAAAGCCTTTTGCATAATAATGACAAGCTCTCAAACAGTTCAGTTTTCATATTTGCTTTTTTTTAAAAAAGAGGATTCTAATACAGAAATATTTATTGCTGTTTACTTAAAAAAATAGTGACAAATATCTCTAATAATGTTTCCTGTAGGTGAACAATTTGGATCCAGAGCTGAAAAACCTATTTGATATGTGTGGAATTTCAGAAGCTCAGCTAAAAGACAAAGAAACGTCCAAGGTTATTTACGATTTTATTGAAAAAACAGGAGGAGTGGAAGCAGTTAAAAATGAATTACGTAGACAAGGTGAGTCCTCTTTTATTCCCACAACTTTTTTTAATTTTAGAAAATATAAAATACTGTATGGTAGTTTGAAAACCTTTCAAAATTAATTATATATACTGTATAAACTCAAGTATAAGCCAAGTTTTTATTATTTTACTTTATTATTGTTATTATCACATTTATTTTACTCTATTATTATTATTATTATTATTATTACATTTATTATTTTACTCTATTATTACTGTCATTATGACAGTTCCATTATTTTACTTTATTATTATTATTATTATTATTATTATTATTATTATTGCATTTATTATTTTAACCTTTATTATTATTGAAAGGATACGTAAGCACATTTACATGGAAGAAGATTGGAATAATGATTTAATCAGAGTTGTACAGTCTTATCTTAAATTTTATGTAAATATTAAAAAACATTTAACCTACTGATGCCTCGATTAATGTAATGTTATTGGTATATATTTTTATTTTTATTTTGAAATTTACCAGTATCTGCTGCATTTCCCACTTTCGGCTCATACTCGAGTCAGTATGTTTTCCCAGTTTTTTGTGCTAAAATTAGGTAGCTCGGCTTATATTCGAGTATATACGGTACATATTCGTTAAATGCATAATTGCTAGTGTCTTAGGTAGGGAAATGTATACTGATAAATTTGAAATGCAATACAACACAAGGCAGTAACCATGGTCAGCAACATCTGCTGTTGGGACAGCTTTTATATATAGATATATCAGTTTGTTTTTCCAGCAGTGGGAAATACAGAGCCAAGTCTAATTAACCCCTTCCGAAGCTCTGTGTGAGTTTTTCTTATTTCTATAAGAACCTGACTTCTACATACATGGCTGGAATCATGTTCACGAGTTATGATGTCGTAAGTCTGATTTAGGCTGCTGCGGGTCACTTTTCTGGTAGTTCTTTGGTTGAAATTCTCTTCCAACTACACAGTAATCAGACATCCTAACCTTTAAACTTCACAGCTGTTTCCAATTGCGGGTGAATTGGCCCTTCTCTGCAACTGGGCATTCTGCAATAGGCACCTGCTGCAAAAGCCTTTTACAGCCCATCCATATAGCTATATTTCTGCATCAGAAGATATATAAACCAAATTCTGTCTTCTAAGCAATGCAGCCCTTCCCAAGAGCCAGCCATTTCGGTGTTGCTGGAGAAGAAAGGATGACGAGGCTGAGTTCATACATCTTGTATAGGGACAGGTAGCTAATTGCCAAGTATAAGAGGGCACAGGATTGTAATTAAAATTCAGTGCTTAAAATACATAATTTCTATATTCTGCAAGGGTGGGAATCATGTGATTAACAGTTCAGCTGTTTCCCAAGAATATTTTTGCCAGAGAGTCTTGGAGGTGGAAAAGGCACTGCCTGGCTACTGGGATTTGTCCACTGTAGAATACAGTAGAGAATTTAGTTGAGTGTGCAACATTGGTCAGAGATTGACAGTTTCGTGGGGATGTAAGTGAAATTAGGCTACTGCTGAGAAAGTTAACATGCTGCATTTATGATCTAGGTCCACCACGGTGGAATGGTATGTATGAACTCCATTTTGGTTTTTGCATTGCAGTGGTGTGTATTTTGCAATACGTAAACATTGAAATTGCTGAACATTAGTTTTCCAAATTTGACATCAATAGAGTTTATCGCCAAATAAGTCCTGAAGTTAATCTTGCATAAGATCACTGATTTACTTGTCTCCCTGCTTCTACTATATGCTATAGTAGGTCTTATATCATAAGAGTGCGTCTCTGTTTGAAGTGTGCATGTATTTTAGTTGGATTACTCAAAAAAACAGCTTTGTTCTCTGAGGTGTGTGTATTATAATAACAATAGTCTCTGTATTTACAAGTGGTGTGATTAATCTTAGATAAATTAAATGCATTCACTGACAACCACTGCTAGATAATAAAATTTAGGAAGCTTTTGCTTAAGACATGCTCTCTCTAAACCATGGTTCTCAACCTGTGGGTCCCCAGATGTTTTGGCCTTCAATTCTCAGAAATCCCGGCAGCTGGTAAACTGACTGGGATTTCTGGGAGTTGTAGACCAAAACACCTGGGGACCCACAGGTTGAGAACCACTGCTCTAGACACAAAGGCAATTCTGACAACTAGTTAGGGTTGTATATGGAGAAAGGTTCAAGTCCTAAATATGTAGAGGGCTGATATAGAGCTGAGATCATTCTTCAGTATGAGACTCTACAATAATGACTGCAGATACTGGGAAATGTTGGAGCCTTATTTTATGTATTGCATTAAAATATATACTGTTTCTCACTAGACCTTTGTGACAATGAGCAGATGAACAAAGTTTGACTTTGTTATATAACGTTAAAAGGATTGTAAAGCAGTCACTGGACTACTGGTCCCTGAGACATCAGCTGCTGTTTCTTGGTAAATTTCCAGTAAAGAAATAATCAATTGCAGTCAGCAAGTACAGATACAGTACGTGTTTCATGAGGAAGAAATTGTCAATCCTCCAGATCAAAGACACTGAGTTAAACCAAAAACCATGGTTAGGTTGACCATTTACAATTTCTCGTAAATTAATGCCTTTCCACAGCAATGTGTACTTAAACATGCTTAGAATTGCAAGGGACTACTAGGGGCATCGAGTCCCATCCCAGGTCATGCAGGAAGGTACTCTGTGAGATGGCTATGCAACCTTTGCTTAAAGACTTTTGAAAAAGGAGTCCAGCCCAATTTGAAGCAGTTCATAGAGTCAAGTTCTTCCTAATGTTTAAATGGAATCTTTTGTTTCTTATGATATGAATCATTTGATGCATGTTTTAGTCTCTGAAGTACCAGAAAACAAACTTGCACCAGTCTCCATAACAATGTTACTCAGTGGTCGTCCTTAAACCAGTAAAGGAAAATTTCACAGTAGTTTCACTGTTGAACTGATTTACAGAATTTGACTTGGGGCTATCTTTGAAGATTATTCAGATGCTCCAGTTGATCTCTGTGTGGGAGTAGAGATTAGAGACCAATATTCTGCCATCTGTGTTGGATTCTGTCTTCCTGTTAAAGATGTGCATTCATCAACAACATTTGTTTTATAATGATAAATGAGTAATCTTGGATAGCGTGTATGGAAAACCAATCTTTCCCTTCAAAGATTTTAATCATTTTGAGTAATTATTGGATAGCCCAATCAGTTAGCTCCTAGGGTTTTATACAAGTCATTAATTTTGAAATTTCAGTGGAACTTAAATGTGGAGTATTAAGACTTTCTTTATAAAGATCTTTTCTCCAGATATGTTTTACTGTTGAATTTAAAGTTTTTCCTTAGTGCTGTCACCAAAAAAAAATCTTTTAAATAAAAGCCTTGTTCTTCTTAGAACACCACTTCTAAATATGAGTACAGCATTGACTTGTGCAGACATTTGAAAATAGATGTACATTTTGTTACTTTCTGTGTGCAAACAAGTTCCTTTTTTCAGTTATAATGCTGACCAAATGAGATAGCATATCACTTTGGTTGGAAATCAGCATGAAACATTAAAATGTGTTTGAAATTAAACTGAGAATGTTCACAGTAACATTATAGAACTAGTATCATAATATATTCTGCTGCGTGACTCAGTACCTTTCTGTATTTTTGGTTTCAGCTCCTCCTCCACCTCCACCCTCTAGGGGTGGTCCCCCTCCGCCACCTCCTCCACCACCGCATAGCTCAGGGCCACCTCCTCCTCCCGCTAGGGGAAGAGGAGCTCCTCCCCCACCCCCTTCAAGAGCTCCAACCGCAGCACCTCCACCTCCACCTCCTTCTAGACCTGGTGTTGCAATGCCACCACCTCCACCAAATAGGATGTACCCTCCTCCTCCTCCAGCGCATTCTTCATCTGCACCCTCAGGCCCTCCCCCTCCCCCTCCACCACCATCAGGTGGTTCTGGTGTGCCTCCACCCCCTCCTCCTCCGCCTCCCCCTCCCGGTCCTCCTCCACCACCTGGTCTTCCAGTAGAGGTTGACCACCAGCTACCAGCTCCTTCAGGAAATAAAGCAGCTCTCTTAGATCAAATTAGAGAAGGTGCCCAATTGAAAAAAGTAGAACAAAACAGTCGTCCAGTTTCCTGCTCAGGAAGAGATGCGCTACTTGATCAGATACGACAGGGTATACAGTTGAAAGCTGTGAGTATCATTGGACTTTTTAAAATATTTAAGATAAGTTTTTCAAAACTCTCATTTTAAAATAGATATTTATGTGAAAGACAAATTGAACTGATATGATTTAAAGTCTTAATGCTTACAATGAATAAAATATATTTAAATAAGGAATTTTCTGGCTTGTTCACCAGGTTTCTTAACTGGTTTTTAGTTTGTTGTTACTAAATGGCATCAAGTTAGCTTCAACTTATGAGAACCTTATGAATGAAAGATTCTCTAGATATTCTTGCTGTGAACACTCATGCTAAGATTTCCCAAGTTCAGGGTCGGGACTTCCTTGATTGAGTCTATCAATCAGAAATGTGGTCTTATTTTCCTACTGCCTTCTAATTTACCAAGTGTTATTGTCTTTCCTTTGAATCATGTCTTCTCATAATATAGCTAAAAATAAGAGTTTTGGTTTAGTAATTTTGGCCTCTACGCAGAGTTCAGACTTGATTTACTCTCAAACTCATTTATTTGCCTCTGTAGTGTTCATAGAACTCTTCCTCACCGCCATCTTCCTCACAGCTCCCAAAGTGACATACAAATCAAGCATCTTAAAATTACAAATTAATATTAATAATAAAAATTCAATGTACCAGATTTGATGACACATTAGAATTGCACACATGAACAACAGAGGAGCCATGCCCACATGTCAAAAGTCCTGCTCTGTTGGAGGCACTCGATTGTGACAGAGGAGAGCCAAATGCCCCCATTGGCAGCACCACGTGAGCGAGTGAAGGAGAAGAAGACCCTTGCCTGCCCACCCTCTCTCTCCCTTCTTAGTGCCTCTAGTGAATCCCTGTCAAAGTGCCCGTTCACCTCTCTCAGCAGTTTATGAAGCCAACGCTCTTCGGCCTCCAGATGTGTTTTTATATGTTTGAGCTTGCTCTGCATCTGTGCCACCAGCACCAAACTTGACTGCTTCCTATTCCTCCCCTCTCCCTCCAAACTCTGGAGTACTGTGAGGGAAGAGAAGGGCCTGGCAGATGGAAAGTAGCCAGGACAGGGTTCACAGAAGTGGAGGCCAGCTTCACCACATATTATCAGGCCAAGGCTAGCGAACTTGTGCAATTCCCAACTGGCCCCTTGACTGTTTTACATGCACAGTTCTAATGAGCTATCAACTCTAATATGCACCCTAATTTTGGCAACATAATTTAGCCAGGAAATGTGTGCACTGGACTGAAGTAAATACGGTATTCCATGACTTTGATATTGAGTTCTTGGTTTGGTAGTCTTTCTATCTTTCTGCACCAGATATACTCATGTCTCATTTTCAATGTTGTTCTCTTTGAGAGAAAAAAATCAAATATTAGAATCACAACTAAAACATTGGCTCTATTAGTAATATAGATGAAATGGTGTGATTTTTCTCAACTTTGCTGCAACCTCCTTAAATTAAAAGTAAAAAATGGGAAAGGAAAGGCTTTTTTCTCATTTGCTGGTTAACCCCAGCAGGGGTTGACCAGCCATCTTCTCCACCACATTTGTATGTGAATGTTCTGTTCAAACCATTCCATACTCCTGTTAGGTAAAGGTAAAGGTTCCCCTGACATTAAGTCTACTTGTGTCCGACTCTGGTGGTGATGCTCATCTCCATTTATAAGCTGAAGATCCATCATTGTCTGTAGACACCTCTAAGGTCATGCAGCTAGCATGACTGCATGGAGTGCCGTTACCTTCCTGCAGAAGCGGTACCTATTGATGAACTCACATTTGCATGTTTTTGAACTGCTAGGTTGGCAGAAGCTGGGGCTAATAGCGGGAACTCACCCCTGCTCCCCAGATTCGAACTGCCAACCTTTTAGTCAGCAAGTTCTGCAGTTCAGCGGTTTAACCGGCTGCACCACCAGGGGGGCCAAAGAAAACACTCCTGTTACCTCTGCAAAAATCATTTGAGATTATGTGCTTGCCAGGTGTAATTTTTATATATCTGTTAGTTAAACTAAGGTGGGAAATTTTCAATTTATATTCCACTGGTGGCTCATTGAAATCCCTTTATGTGGGAACTCTAGGCCTCCAAAAACAGTTTTTAAAAAATCCATTTTTATTTGAATCTCAACATTTCTTACTTCATAATTGTTATAAAGAATGACATGTTGGCAAGCTGTTTGCAGGATCTTTTCCCCTCTACTTGCTCCATTTTCTTTGTTACCTGCATTATTTGCTGTTTACAGATTGTAAGCTTTTCTCAAGGCTTTAATTTATGTTGACTTACATTTGAAATTCTACTGTTTATAGTTGTATGTCTTCAATTTTTCTCTCAAGGTATCTGATGGGCAAGAGACGGCACCACCTACCCCTGCACCCACCTCAGGTATTGTGGGAGCATTAATGGAAGTTATGCAGAAAAGGAGCAAAGCCATTCATTCTTCAGGTAAGCCATCAAAATCAGTGTTTTGGTCAGTTGAGGAGCATTAACTATTAATAAATTTGTCTCATCATATTCAATGCATTATATATTAATACATCTTATGTCAAATTGGAAAAGATGATATAAATCTGCTTGCAGTGAAAAGCCTATCCCAGTTCTTTGTAAGTTCCATATTAAGAGCAAGCTTGTAGCAACTATGAACATTTGATTAAATTAAGGTTTACAGTCCTAAAACTCAGTTTAAAAATGCACCATAGATTTACAGACATTATGAATAGCTGAAGTACTCTGTACTACAACTATTCATGTCTATAAATCTACGGTGCACTGTTTGGAAAGCTGAAAAGATCCATCTTTTTTGAAACAAGGAGTCAATAACATTAGTTGGTCAAATTTGATGTACATATTTTATTTATCATGTCAGAAGTGAATTGAGAGTACAGTTGTAATGTATTTAAAATGCAAACAAAGGTAAAAACTTGGCATTATACTAAATGTCCTTTGACCAGTAGGGCTTGCAGCATTAGATGTACATGGTAAGTGATAATACTAAAAAAAAATTGAGTGCTACATGAAGTTCCATAAAGGTGCTCTCAAACTGACTGAGAATATAAACAATCCAAAACAAAGGAAAATGTTGCATTAATTTCAGCAGTAGGAACAATATTAGAAACTTTAAGCATTCCCAGGAAAAAAATAAAGCATATTCAAAGTTCAGGTATTTCAAAATGACTAAAAATGTCTTAATTAGATCGGGAGTAAATTAATGCCTCCAGTAAAATACTTGTGTGAGCCCAGATCCTACTTTTTGCTTACTTTTCTATGCATACAAATGCTAATATCTAGATTACTGCTTGTTAAACTATGAGTCCTAACCTCAAATGAGGTCCCTGAAGCTCAATGTTGGGGTCCCAAAGAAATGGCAACAGTAAAAGTAGACATTTACACAAATCTGTTGCACAGTATTTACAGCGGACTCTGCAAAAGATGTGTCAGCTAGACTTCCTAAAAAGGAAATTCACCCTGTTTAGCAAGCCTTGCAAATGCATTCCAGGTACATGGGTCATTTTATGCAACCTATATACCTGGGGTCATGTAAAAATTTATCAGGCCAAATGGGGTCACGAATAGAAAATGTTTAAGAAGCCCTGATCTATATAACCACAAAAAGAAATAATCGGAAGACTTTTTTTTAAAAAAAACTGAGAGTTCTTACTTCATTTCTTATAAAACAAATAATGTTTCCTATCATTAGATGAAGATGAGGATGAAGAAGATGAAGAAGACTTTGAAGATGACGATGAGTGGGAAGACTGATCAATATATTATATCATATATATATATTTTTAAGGTGAAATACTAAACTACTTTCTGTCTATGAATTCTGTAAAATTATCATGTAAATGTTCTACCAATTTGCTGTATATTTTTGTTGCCTTTTGCTTTTTTATTAATCTGTGCAATACCTCATTTAATCTGTAAAGGTTTGTCATAACCCTATACCAAGCTACTCCCAACTTAATGTGTACAAGTTTACATCAGGTTGCTCAATGTACATGTGAATACTTTCCATTCCACCAACAAGGGAGTTTAGTGTAATATGCGAAATTGACAAACACTCCTTAAATGTATTTAGTTATAATGCAAGAAGGAAAACACTATTTTCATACCCTACTTTTTCTGTATCTAAATTTTCGTATTAAAACCTAATATAGCACTACATTCATAAATGCAATGCAGCTCCTAGTTTTAATCCCTTCATCTTGGATACTGTGCTACATGGATGAGGCTGATAAAACAAATGAACCTTGTCGATTTGTAACACTGCAGTTCAGAATTTAGCATTTAAGCTGTACATAAAGTACAATCACTAGAAAAATGAAGTGGTTATGAAATTTTTCCCTGATTCTTGAGCAGTGTTGCCTGCCATCAGGAGAGCTTTCCACTTGAATGCTGAATTTAGGGACATCTCAGATGGTCACAAGGTGTGCCATCTTCGATGTAAACTACTTTTTTGATTTTTGCCAGCCACCTTTCACAATGAAGAGGAGCCTACATTTATGGCAACTGCTGCAGTCACTTATTTATTTTTATATAATGTTTTTTTACCGAAGGGCTGTGGTTGATACTTGCTCTATTAATAATGAGTTTAAATTAAAAAATAAATGTGTAGGGCATCAGTATACTAATAAATGAATTTAAGTGGTATAACTCTGCAGTCTTTGTGGATGATGGTTCAAGCCAACCCACCTAGGCACCGGATCATCTATAAGCATCCAGAAATCAAAAACGTTAAGTAGGGATAGGTGCCTTAAATATATGCTTCTCCTGACTCTGACAGGCTGCCCTAAGGTGATGGGAGCAGTTGCTGGGAGAAAGGAGTGATGGAAGTGCAAATTCCTCACTGATGTTTCCACCTCCTTCAACCAAGTCTCTGTATTTATTTTTGGCCAAATAGTAGCTGAGACTGGATCCTCTTAGCTCAGGTTCACTTCAGTCTTCTTTGCTGGCTTCCCTACAGTTGTTCCAACATGGCTGTGTTGCTCCCATTTTTTCTTGACCTTAAATCCGTAGATCTTGAAACCAGAGTGAATAGAGATAATTTAACTACCGTACATTCCTTCTACCTTTTGGAAGAGGCTCACTACTACAACATTTGTAAACCACTGCTTTTTATATGTACTGAACTTGCATATTTTCGATATTTGATTTGTCTTGTGTTCAGAATTAATATCAGGGGATGTGATCTTTAAGGTAGAAGGCTCTGTGCTTGGAATTGCATTCCGGTAAATGATGGGAAAATTTGAGTTCTCATTTTAATGTTCATCCTTACTAATGGTTGCAATATTTGAAGGATTTGCCTATTTTTTATTATCCAGTAACAACATTTGAAATAGACATTTTCAGTACGGACAGTATGAAAGCATTTTAAGTAGAGTACACTTAGAGGTATCACTTCTCTCACCAATGCAAAATAGTTCAAGTGAGACCTTTTTGGAATACAATTAACACACACTTCCCATCTTCTCTTTTTCTTACTTTGTTAATGATATATTGGATGAAATTGTATTTACTGAAATCCAGTGTTGGCCTGATCTTGGCAGGCTGGACCTGCATGATGTGGCTTGGCTATCTAGTGCAGTTATAATGTATGTCTAGCATTTTTAATTGCAGAAGGAGGACAGGATATAAAAGGTTATGTTGATGAAAGACAGTGTGGTAAAGCAAAAGCTAAATTATTTAGAGGACGATATCTTTTCTTTTAAGCAAACAACATGGGCAGAGGAGATTCTTTTTCAAAGTATCTTTCTCCTTTTCAGTTATATTGACAACTGCCTGCTGCTAAAAAGACTGACAGCTAGCATTGCTGCTAGTGTGGCTTGAGGACTCGGAGCATTGTGGCTGAAGCCGGATGAAATGTTGTGTAGCAGGATTAAGGAAGTGTGCACATGGGAGGTGGTGTTAATGGCCTTCAGTACAATTTTTAGTGTTGTCTCTAGTTCTGATACCATAAAGGGCATTTTAAAGTGGATACTGCTCAGGTGGCCTCCAAAGATGTTTCTTCTAAGCATAAACTAAGCACAGACTTCTGGAGCTGAGAGAGTTTAGAAAGATTTAATATTTTTGGAATACTTGTGTAATGTGTTAATCACCTGCCCAATGGGCTTTTGTTGTTGTTTTTTTTCTATAGAAAGTGTATCCACATTATTGCACAAAGTTCAGAAGTTTTGCTTTCAATAGCATATTGTATGGTTTTAATTTTAAGGCATGGCTGCAGTTACAATTAGGCTAAGAAGTCACCGCTGCATGTTTCTGCATTCTCCTACTTCCGGTGTGGGCCAGAGACAGTGTTTCATGCCATTGAATCACTACTGCTAACCGTTGTAACAAGGCAGCCTCATGCACCATTTAAATTGACTGCCCAAGTAACCTTGGCAATTAGTACATGAGTGTGAGGACCTTTATCTCAACACTACGCTTATGCAATATCTGCTAGCTGCTTGTACTCTGAAACCATCTCAATCATTCAGTTTTTTCATTTCATCAAACTGAACTTCTTGGTATGTGAATTTTCCTTTTGGCTTTTTTTAATGTACAGTGAATAGGATGTTGCACTGGTGGCAATTCATCATGGAACATAATAAAATTAATTTGACTCAGTATGTGGTGTGAATTTTGTTATGGACTAACCTGAACACAAAATACAATATTGGCAGTTCTGTTTGCATGACCTCAGCAGGCATGAAATATTACCACAAAAATGACATTTCCCTCGGCAGATAATTATTATATCTGTTTCTTGTTAGATTCCCTTAAATCAGGCCTGCACAACCTGTGGCCCTCCAGGTATTTATGACTCGCAGAAGCCCTAGCCAGCTTGTCCAATGGTCAAGAATTCTTGAAGCTGGTCCAAAATACCCAGAGAGCCACACATTGTGCAGGCCTGCCTTTAATCTCTCATGGGCAATCACTTGTGGCCATGTGTGATTGAATTCTAAAAATAGAGTCTTGGTGGTGGGTCTATAAGTAACTGTGAAGACTTATTCTGGATCCATCTGGTCTTTCACATTGAGGACATAGATTTCCAGATGGAAGGTGGTCACAACAAGGATTTGCTTGATGTTCCTTCCTCTTTACACATGTTTTTTTCCACCCTGTATTTCTGCCTTCTCAAAATTCATATCAGTGTTGGTAATAGCTGATCGCCGGTTACAATGCTCGAGTGCCAGACTTCCCAGTTCTATGTATTTATACCACATTTGTTTAGGTTAGGTTTAAGACAATCTTTACATCTCTTTTGTTGTCCACGGACATTTCATTTTGTATTTTTGAGCTGAGAATAAAGTGGCTGCTTTGGGAAATGGTTGTCAGGCATTCAGATAATGTGGCCAATCCAGTGAAGTTGATGGTGGAGAATCATTTCTTCAATGCAGATGATTTGTCCATCTGTCCTCCCAAAAATTTGCAGGATTTTCCAAAGGCAATGCTGATAGAAACTTTCCAGACGTCAAGAGTGATTTTTGTAGACAGCACATGTTTCTCAGGTTTACAATAGAGTTGGAAAAACATAGCTTTGTAAACAATCACCTTGGTATCCCTATGAATGTCCTGATGAACACTCCGTGCACCATTTGAAAAAATACTGCACTCCCAGATCTCAGACCACATTGTATTTTGGCATCAACGTTGAGTTTTGTGTTGGTAATGAAAATTATGGCCTTGTATAGGGACAAATATGCCAGGTAGCTTGCTACGAGCCAGATAATGTTGCAATACATAGCATTTGCAAGGTCAAACTATGGCAAAAATGCTATTCATCTTTCCAAAAACTGCCAAATATTTGGTTATCTCTGTAGTTTGTACGTGGTCTACTTACTCTCTTTTACCCAAAACCTTAGTGAGTTACAAATGGCTTGATGACCTAAATGTAAAAACTTCACTAAACTTTCTTCCTAGAATACAAGATACTTCCAAGACCCAACCTCCAGATGTCATTTGCTAATTAGAGAAATCCCTGATGGTTTTTAAAAGATCTCAATCTACAAATAAAATGCTGGCTGATTTATTCATTGCATTCAACTTACATAAGGTTCAGAAGACACATTTTTCTTTAAGTAGGCATTGTGAATTTTATTCTTACAACATTCTTTATTATACCAGTTGTACTTCTTTTGTCAAGATCAACAACATAGAGCTATCTGCTAGCCCAAAGAAAAGTAGACCAAGGAAAAAGAGTAGCACTTAAATAGATGTTAATTTACATCCCCATAAATTCAAAACTGGTTAGGACTAGCAGTTGTTTTAGTCTTGATTCATAATACCAACAATGTCTCTATAAATGTAGAAATACATGTAAATCAAAACCTGAAATTTATTATTTACTTCAATGACACTTCCACATTGAAAGGTTACTTGGAATTTGAGACTGGATAAAACAAAATATACAGTGAGTTGCTCTGGGAAGATTGTAACTCTTTCCATTTCAGATAGGAATTTCTAATCCAGAGTCAAGCTCTGAAAAACAGTTCTAAATGTTTGAAGCAGAAGTTAGTTATCCATTGTGCCACACAGCTTGTCGCAAAGAATTTTTCATCCATTTTAGGAGCATTTTTTTACTCTTATTTTTTTCTTTCTAATAAGACAACAGTAGAAATAGATCTAAAAATGAGTGCTGATTATAGTGTTCTTAATATAGATACCCCTGCAAAGCATGGAAAGAAAACAGTGTTTGTTGAGCATAAATTTGATTTGCTGATGTCCCCCTTTGGGGGTAGAGAAGTGACCAGGTAGAAATACCAGAAATAAATAAATAAAAATAAATGATGTGAACATCTGACAATTTTAAGAGGCAAAACTGGCAGAAAAATTATTTATTTATTTATTTATGATATCTATATGCCGCCCTTCTCACTTACCCTGAAGGGGACTCAGAGTGGCTTACAAGATACATATACATACAATATATTATATTATTAGCATAGTACAATATCAGTATTATAATTACTATATTGTACTATATCATTATATTGTAATATTATTAGTAATATTACATGTAATATAAAATATATAATTATAATATATTATTAGTATTATATTGTATCACATTATTTTATATATATATTTATATATATATATATATATATATATATATATATATTAGCATAGCACAGGAGACAAGATGGAACCATCATAAGATGGGTTCACCTTACAGCTGAGAAGCAATGGGTGACCAACCTTTTGTATGTAGGATGTGTCTTCTTTGTTGTTACTTACATTATTACAGTTCTCACATTATCTGAGTGTGGACTCAGATAACCAGGTTCAAAGCTGATTTTATGGGATTTTCTGCCTTGATATTCTGAGATATAGAGCTGTGTAGAAGAAGGGCCCTCAGTCCCACCACCATCAGAAATATAGTTGGAGGGAACACAAGAGAGGGTCTTCTCAGGCCCCTTCCACACAGCTGTATAAAATCCATATTTCACTGGATTATAACTGCCATGATATTCTGGGCTATAGAGCTGTGTGGAAGGGCCCTGAAAGAGTGTGACCTACCCAAGGTCAATCAATGAGTTTCCATGACTGAGCAAAGATTTGAACCCTAGTCTTCCAAATCATAGTCCAATGCTCAAGCCACTCTACCAAGCATCTTCTCTATGTGTCTTCTAGCTCCAGGCTAAAAAACACCTGTCCAAAAAAGAGCCCTGTATTTTTCTCCAAGATCACTTGATTATATTGCCTCTGATGTAAAGAAATTCCAGGGAATTGATAATCCAGTCACATCTGCAAGAGTTGCTCAAGAATTGCCCATCTTCAGCAAAAGCTAAGAAATAAAAGTAAAGCCATGCAAATAGGTATCTGGCTTGTAGGAAAATTTAATTTCATGCATTTTGTGTGTCTCAAGACAACAAATATAATATTCAGATAAATATGTGGCACTTCACATCACCTTTGGAAGCCTGTGCTCAAAGTCACATGATGATTCCAAGTCATTTCTGACTTATGATGAACCAATCATGAGACTTCCTTGGCAACATCTGTTCAGAGGGCATTTGCCTTTGCCTCCCTGGGAGAGGCTGGGAGAGTGTTACCTCTCTAAGCACACTCAGTGAGTTTCCATGGCCAAGTGGGAATCCGGACCTCATCTTCTAGTATCTTAGTCCAATACTCAAACCTCTACACCATGCTAGCTCCAATGGTAATAGGGAAATGACTATTGTACACTTATACCGCTCCATAACCAGAGTCCTCTAAGTACACAAGCCCCACATTTATGGCTAAGAAATCTACTGTTTTGCAGGACTTCAACTCATTGTCTTATGTTTACTGTTCAAACTTAGTTTCAGCACTGTAACAACATACTAATCCTGTTTTGTGAATATGACTTCTTTAAAATTCGTGTTTGATTTTTTAAAATTGTATATTTTAATCTTTTTTTAATCAGCAAAACATACATTCATGCTAAGAGGAAAGAAGCAATTGGATCAGTCTAATGGGCAGTGAGTGGAGCTAATTTTAGTTTCTAAAATATCTATTTGATCTCATGTTGGAACAAAGTCAACCTAAAATGAACTAAACTATCTTCTTTGTTGCTTTATTGGAACTCCCATTTTCTGGATAGTGTAGCAGAGCTGTGCTTTCTGTATCTGTCAGAATTTGAGTTTAAACTTGTCAGGAACATGATGTTCCTCCTGCCGAGGCCGAGCAGGTCTAACTCCCCTTCTCATGGCTGCTGTAATGAACATTCTCTGCCCTTATCATATGCTCAGTAAGTACATAATCTATTGTTTTCTCTGCCAGCCCAAGGGATGATGCTTTGCTTGTTTATTGTTCTTCATTGCCAAACATTTCTCAGCTCTAGATTTCCGTGGAACCAGTTCAAAGCTTTTGATATCCTGGAACTTCTGCAAAGCCAAAAATACACCTTGGAGGCTATTTAGAATTATTCTTGGGACTAGTAAAGTTCACACATTTAGGAAGCATTTTGTTTATTGGATGGTTTTTAGCACAGCAATTCAGACATCAGCTGGTTTGTTGTCAGTTTTATATTTATATCCTTATTCATTTGGAAGAAGTTTATTTATTATTTTAGTGTTTTGTAGGGAAATTTGTATGTTCCTGTAAAGTTAATTTATGGTGGTGGATTAAAGAAAACGGGATAGTGATTTCTAGGGTTCTAATTTGTAGAGCTTTGAACAGTTATTTTTTTTTTGGATGACACTTCTCAGAAATGCTCACCGATGGCCCTGGTAGATGGGAGATTCTGAGATTCTGAGTTGCTTCTGGCATGAGAGAATTAGCTGTCTTCAAGGACATTACTATCCCGTGGGAGGTTTCTCTCATGCCCCCTCATAGGAAGCTGGAGCTGACAGATGGTAGCTCACCCTGTTGCCCGGATTTGAATTTCCGACCTTTTGGTCAGCAGTCCTTCCAGCAGAAGTGTTTAACCCATTGCACCACCGGGAGCCATCCACTAAGCTACCCTAACACCACACCTCCATTCAACAAGATGCATTCCTGGCCATTGGGTTTCCTTTCCACGTTTACACAAAGCACAGAATCTGGATATCTTTCAGCCTGGTCATGCTGTAGCTCACCCTGCATCTGACAGCCCAGTATTCTGCCCAAATTCTTGAAGGCAGGGATTTAGCATAAAGCCA